TATTTAGAAATATATTATTTAATACTCCACCTCCCATCAGTAAATAATTCCAACAAAAGATTGACTTCTTAAATGGATGAACTGCATACAAGTAGAAAGCTTACTTTCAAAATAGTGTCATGGAACTGAAAATGGAGTGTAGAATAATAGCTGTTTTGATACTTAATTGAATAATTAACAGGTGTCTGAAGAATTTTTTATTTTTATGGAATGGAAATTTTCTATAAAAATGGAATTAAGAGTTGATTTTGATAATAGGAAACAAGACAGCAGTCTTAGCCTGCGACTTCTTTTTACATTTAAGGAACTAAGAATGAATTTTATGTTTTCTAAGTGGTTGAAAAGAAAATATTTTGTGACAAATTAAAATGCATAAAATTGTTTTGTTGGTAAATAAGGTTTTTTGGGGACACAGCCGTGCTTATTTACATGTTTGGCTGCTTTCTGCTATCGTGGCAGAATTGAGTAGTCTAAAGACTGGGTGGCCTGTAATAATGAACATAATTACATATTTACTACTCGCTGACCCTTAAATTGTGCCAGTCCTTGACATAAGCAATAGTTTTGTTCATATATGGCATGTTGTCAGTTTGGTTACTTCTAGCTGGCAGAATAGGGTTTTTTATTTAATTTCTATATCCATCATTTAGATTTTATCTTATAAAATGAGTTGCCTTGTTTTCATTTATGTCTTACTGTTGCTCAAATATGCATATACTACAAGATACTAGTATTTTTTAGGTATACCTTTTTCTCCTTAAATTCTTAAAACATTATTATGTGTTTGCCATGGATATTAAGGGACGTGATATGTGAAGGAAAGGCATCTGGCACTAATAAGTTAAATCACACCTGTAAAACAAATTGGGGGGGTGGGTGGGAGTTTGCTTTCTGTGTTGGTGAGTAATCGATTACTTTCAATCTTAAACACTACCTCTTGTGGATAGACTTGACTAATATGCACTTAGAAGAGAACTGAGAGAAGCCAAATCAGTCATTTATTAGCCCTATAATAATTTTTTTTTCATCACTTGATAAATTCTAAGAGAGCTTAGTTTTACATTCAAAAAGTATTTATATTTGATAAGTCGAATGGTTTAAGTTGAAACTTCACAGAAGTATGTGTTCATTCCTTGATTACCTGTACTAGTAGATGGGAAATAAGGGTACAGTCAGTTTTGTTTAATGTTTATACAATGTTTGAAGCAGGTACACCTAGACTAAAGTTGTATTTTCAGGTTCATTATGACTGGTTGAAGGAGAGAGAATCTGTGTCTGATCCACAGTAAAACTTTCATGATCTATTGAGAGTTGTCAGTTGCCAATCGAAACTGGATATTGGAACATTTTTAAAGAAATGCACTTTAATCTGAAATAAAATTTAAAAAGAAAAAAGTAAATTCTGGTACTTGTTTTTCTTTGGTGTTTGGGTTTTTAATTTTTGTTTGTGTGTTTCAGTGAGGCCTCCTGAAATTAATTAATTGGTTCAGACACCAGCCAGAAAATGAGTATTGTATTCCTCCATGACCATATGAACCATTCATATTCTTGCCCTCTTTTATGGCCTGTTTCTAACCAGAGAGGATCTCTTGTTTTATTCATAGTTTCAAGGGTTCCACACACTTCTAAAGTCATACTTTTAAAAAAATTGAAGTATAGTTGATTTATAATATTGTGTTACTTTCAGGTATACAGCAAGGTGGTTCAGTTTTATATTTATATATTTTATTTCAGATTATTTCCATTATAGATTACAAGATACTGAATATTGTTCCCTGTGTTACACAGTAAATCTTTGTTGCTTATCTGTTTTATGTATAGTAGTGTTTAATCCATTAATCCTATACTTACAGTTTATCCCCCTTCCTCCCTTCCCTCTCTGGTAACCATAAGTTTGTTTTCTATGCCTATGAGTCTGTTTTTATAGAGATTAATTTGTATTTTATAGATTCTGCATGCAAGACAATATTTGACTTTGATATTTCCTATTGTTTCAAATAACAATATTACATTCTTTATTACTAATATTGTATGTGGTTTTTATATATATATATACACATCTATATATTTACACACTACCTAATTGTAGGTTTGATTTGGCATTTCTCTAATAATTAGTGATTTTGAGCATCTTTTCATGTGCCTGTTCGCCACGTGTATGTCTTTGGAGAAATGTTTGTCCAGATCTTATGCCAATTTTTTGATTGGGTGATTTGGTTTTTTTGGTATTGAGTCGCATGAACTGTTAGTATATTTTGGAACTTAAGCCCTTAGAGGTGGCATCATTTCCAAATATTTTCTCCCATTCCAAGGTTGCCTTTTTATTATATGATGGTTTTCCTTTGATGTGCAAAAGCTTAAAGTTTGACTAGGTACCATTTGTTTTATTTTTGCTTTTATTTTGCTTAGAAGACTGTAAATTCATACTTTTAAGTAAGAAAAAAAAGTGTAAGACTTGGTGATGTTGAAAGATAACTGTCATTAGTTTACTATGGCTTCTGTAAAAATCAAAAACTGAAAGGCTTAAATGATAGAAATTTATTGTCTTGGTTCTGTAGGCTAGAAGTCTGAGATAAGGTGTCAGCAAGGATTGGTTCCATCGAAGGGCTATTCCATGCCTCTCCTTTAGCTTCTTGTGGTTTGCTAGCAATTTTTGGCTTTCCATCACCCCAGTCTCTGCCTTCATTTTTACATGTGCTCTTTGCTGTGTATCTCCAGACATAAATTAAGGAGCTTAGGGAGAGCAGTATTACTACAGCAATAAAATAATGACAGATCTTTTGCGTTTTAAAAAAGATACTCAACACTGAAGCAACAAGCCGTTATTGGTTGGCACTCCACTCTTTGCCCATTTAATGCCTTTGCCACAAACTGCCAGCCTACTGGATCCAGATGAGGAAGATCCTTGAAGTTAGGATTGGATCCCACAGCTATTTCTAAAACTTTATAAGCCAATCCATAAGGAAAGCTTGCTGAACAGTTTTGAGAAAGTCCTACAATTGTTCATTTTTTTTTAAATTGAAATACAGTTGATTTTCAGTGTTGTGTCTTGTGCATTTCTTTTTTCATTTATTTTTATTAGTTGGAGGCTAATTACTTTACAATGTTGTAGTAATTTTTGCCATACATTGACATGATTTAGCCATGGATTTACATATGTTCCCCATCCTGAACCCACCTCCCTCCCCATCCCATCCCTCTGGGTCATCCCAGTGCACCAGCCCCGAGCACTTGTCTCATGCATCCAACCTGGACTGGCGATCTGTTTCACCCTAGATAATATACATGTTTCGATGCTGTTCTCTCGTAACATCCCACCCTCGCCTTCTCCCACAGAGTCCAAAAGGCTGTTCTGTACTTCTGTGTCTCTTTCTGTTTTGCATATTGGGTTATCATTACCATCTTTCTAAATTCCATATATATGTGTTAGTATACTGTACTGGTCTTTATCTTTCTGGCTTACTTCACTCTGTATTATGGGCTCCAGTTTCATCCATCTCATTAGAACTGATTCAAATGAATTCTTTTTAATGGCTGAGTAATATTCCATGGTGTATATGTACCACAGCTTCCTCAT